AGAGTCGAAGCTCTGGTTGGCTCGGTGAAGATGGACCCTCGTTATGATACTGTGAAAGTTGAAACTCCATTCGGGGGTTGTTTTAGATGTTGAGAGGTGGTGGCTTCTCCAAGAGACTGAAGTTGCCGGGTACTCGACGTCCAGGGGATGCCGGATTCGTGTTGGCGAGTTCATTTCCTTCAGTTTTCCCAAGCCTGAAGCCGAAAGTAAGAAGAAGTTCTTTGAGCACAAGAAGGTTCGGCCAAAAGCGAGCTCCGACATTGTAAGGTTCTTGACAAAGCTTCAGGAGAGGTACGTTTCACTTGACTTGTTTCTTCGTTTTACTTCTAACCATTTGCTCACAGATAGGACGGCTTCCAGCCGACTGGGCCAAGTGTTTGATACCTTTGGGAAGTGCAAAATGGCACCAGAGGCTCTTTCTCTTATGAGCAGCATAGTTCTCCATTTGAGGTAGAGTTTCTGTGTTTACCAGAGACGTTACGTATATGATGTGCTTGCAGAGTTTATATCAACAAGTCAGAAGCCTTACGAGGAGGGGGTTGAGCGCGGATTGAAGCTTCTGCAAGCTATCTTGAAGCCGGTAATGCTTCGAAGAACAAAAGATTCAACTGATAAAGAGGAAGGTAAGCATTTTTTTCTTTGCACCGTGCCTTGTCTTGTATTCACTCACAAGTTGGATTCACAGACCAATTCCTGTTCTCCAACCGGCTCAATATGAAGTTATTGTATCCAGATCCATAGGTATCATGCAGGCGTTCCTGTACGAAATAGGAACTCATAACTGTACCAACAAGTAATCGGTTTCGAATAAATGTCGAGGAGCAGTGGAAGGAGTCGTCCAAAGTCGAGGCTCTGCTGCACCACCTCCAGACGTTAAGTGAGGCCGGGTCGAAAAGCGTTGTTTTTAGTCAGTGGACAGCGTTTCTCGACTTGTTAGAGATACCATTGAAAAGGTCCGAGCGTCTTTCCTTTTGGTGCTTTCTCTTTGTTTGTGTTTCTAACAATGCACTGCCAGGAAGAACTTCTGTTTCGTCCGCTTGGACGGAACACTATTGCAGCGTCAGCGAGAACAAGTGCTCAAAAGCTTCAGCAATATTCCAGCCGTGGTGGCCGTAAGCTTTTTGTGTTGCTTACCTCCAAGAAACCACTATTTTGTGGTCATGCTCAAGCTTTTCTCATGGTACGCGCTATAGTTTTCTTTTTTAGCCATCTTCCGAGTCGAGAATGTGGACGATCGAGCATCGGTCAGACGAAGAACGTATCGATCAAGCGCCAGTTGAAACTCTCTTTGACGTTTCTCATGTCTCTAGAGCAGGACTCGGTGGAGGAGAGAATGCAACAGGTCCAAGCGAGGAAGCAGCGATTGATCGCGGGGGCTCTCACAGACGAAGAGGTGCCAAGCGCTCGAATCGAGGAGCTCAAAATGCTATTTAGATGAGAAGAGCTGGAGTCCTTAGCAACTTAAATCAGTGTACATAGTTAAAGAGGGGAATATGCTTCTAGCATCGGCGCGTATATTCTTCGGATAGTTCAATGTAGGTTTCTTCGCGGCTATGGCGGACAGCAGGCGATCGCGTCGCAAGCGGCGACGAGCAAGGTATGGATGCTAGGATCGCCTCGAGAAGCAGCAGCAGCGCCGGCGCCGGCGCCGCGCCGCGATTTCGCTGGCCTAGAGCCGGAGTAGCCGATCTAGATTCATGCAAGCATATGATCTCTAGGAAATTGAGCTGAACGCTGAGGCTTTGCAGGCGATCGCGTCGATTCCTCTGGTCTCCGCGGCCGGGGCGGCTAGAAAGCCGGGGCGCATTCTAGAGTTTCGGGGTTTCTGGGGCGATCAGTCATGTAGCGCGCCTTGACTGCCACTACTCAGGCCGACGATGAATTGGGCGTGGATGTGTCGTCTCCCAGCGGCGATTTGCTACTCCAATTTCTCAAGAGTGGTGGGGGCGACGAGCAGCTGAGGAGCAGTAGCAGCTACAGGACCCAGCAGTCGCAGCTCACGGTCCCTGCCACAGCTTTGCTCCTTCTGGAGGAGGAGGAGAAGGTCCTCCTCCACGACCACTCTACGTCCCAGCAACAAGATTTGGTGGGTGGTCACCTCACTTCCAGCAGCACCAAGACCCACTTTTCCCTTCGGATCCATTCTTGACTCCGTCGGACCACTGATTTCTACGCTCGTTTGCTCCTCTTCCAGTCGAGAGACCGTTCCATCCGCCAGTGCCGTATCCTTTTCCAAATGCTCCGACTTTCCAGCCTGCTGATAATGTGGTTCATCCGCCGCATTCCTCTGGGGAGCTTAAAGCTCGTCCTGCCCTTCACTTCGAGTCTCCGGTGTTTGGACCCAGCGCAGCAGAGACCTCGGACTCCAAGCGCGCCCCAGAGCAGCCGAGGAGATCGGTTACACCTGCGAAGGATGACAAGCAACAATTCCACGGCAATGGTTCCGAGCTCCTTCAGTTGTTACAGGGTGGTCCTGGTCGTGTGAAGCCCACAGCCTCCACAAAGGTGGATGCTACACAGGACAGTGGGGATTCTGGAGAGCCATCAAAGAAAGGAAGTCCATCTGCTGTTCACGGCCCCATAGGACTGCCGAGGCGTCATGTCGTTTCTCCTCCGCAGAGTCCAAATGACCTCCTTGGACGTTTGTGGGCTGCTCTTCCGGCCTCAAGCCACACTTCGTTTGACGGAGAAAGCGAACGCAAGACGTCAGCCCGGAGCTTTGGCGTTGAAGCGAACGAGATGTCCCGGGAAGTCGATGGAGGTGGAGCTGCTGGTTTCGCACTTTTGAAGCGAAGGGGATCGGAGCCTGCCGCCTCGCACTACCTTTAAACGGCTACGACTATAACGACTCTAAGACAAATGATAAGCCGAGGACAAACTCAGCATCCGGAAGACTACAGGACTATCGTGGGAGATACGTAAATGGAGAGGCCGAATTTGAGCCCGGAGGCGATGACTTTAGAGGTGCTGGAAGGCGTCGAGGTCCCGGTCGTGCAGACGCCAGACGCGGTGGTCGGGGTGCTGTTTGCCAGTGGATTGCGGTAAATGAGAGGCATAAAGATGCTGAGCCAAGTGACATCACCTCCTGCGATATCTCTGATGGAAGGGACGAGTCGCTTAAATCTTCAAACGGGACTTAGTCGAATGCTAGGAGAAAACATCAACAGGTATGGAGGATAAAACAGGCCGACTCAAAGGCAGCATTTCCAGCGGAGGAAAATCCGGACTACGAGGTTCCAAAGGCACGGTCTTTGGCATCTCAACTTGAACGTCCAGGCTTGCCATCGGGAAGTACGCAAAACTCTTCCGTTGGTGCGGCTTTTGAGGAGTCCAAACAGAGGCTCCATAATCTAGATGCTTTGGAAGGAGAAGGCGTGACGACGTCTCTAGATCTCGAGGAGCTACAAATTGACGGTCACCGTCGTGAGGGTAAAGCTCCACAGTTTTACAAGGTTTGTGCTTGCGTTTTTTTCTTTCTTTATTTTCATGTGTTTGTATCTCTGGTTACAGCCGAAGGAGAACCGTTTCAGGGAGTCCAGACGCGTCATTCCCATGCACAGACGTGATCTTCTTTACCGACTGGATCTGCAATCTGGATATTTCACTCGTGAGCTTTTCTGCCTCTACGACGAGCTTATACCAACCGAAGAAGGGGAGGTCCGGAGAAGGAAGTTCTTCTCGAAGCTTGAGTCCCTTTTCGAGAGGGAGGTCCCGGGAACACGGCTCTTTCTTTTCGGATCGTGTGTTAATGCGTTTGGAGTTTGTAACAGTGACATCGATGTTTGCCTCTCCGTTGATCAGGAAGAACCAAACAAGATCGAGCTTGTTGTTCAAATGGCAACTATCCTCGAGTCAGATGCCATGTTAGACGTACAGGAGGCGTAGGACTCAACGTGACTCATGGTATAGTTTCTTATCCGAATTCTTAGCCATCCTCCGATCCAGAGAACTTTCCTTTCATTGTTCTTGGCAACAGGGTCGATGTCGATGGAGAGAACAGTAGAGTGGTGAGCTCTTTTGTTTCATCTCTTGCCTCACTTTAAAGCTTGTGTGTCCAGGTTTCCGAGAATAAAGCCAAGGCCTGGTGTGCTTCCCAAGGAAAACATTCTATACTTTGAGGCGTCTGCCAAGGAAGACTACAACGTGGAGGCTGCGTTTCAATGCATTGCCAAGAATGCCTTGAGGAGCGAACCCGAGGAAGACTTGTAAGTTTTGCTTGTTTCTTCTTGTGATGTTTCAAGCTCACATTTAACTTCTGGCAGCTATCTTCCAGAGACGATCGACATTACAAATAACAATTGATCTACTACTACTGTCCCTCTATCGATAAGTGTTTTCGCTTTCATTTTATATGGTTTTTTTTCTTTCTTTTTCTTTTTACTCTCTCCTTTCGCTCGTTGGCCTTGGATTTTTTTCCCTTCTCAATTTCCCAGTCGTTTTTTTATTTTTTCACTACGAAATAACTTTTCTTCTTCGATCTTGTATCTAGTTACTACTAGTAGTACGCAAATTCTTGTGTTTGTGTATTATTAAATTTTCTTCGTTTCTAATGGATTGCTAGTAGACGAGAATTGGGTCGCAACATGCCTAGTTTTTCTAGATTTCACAAGTCTGTTTTCTAGATTTCACAAGTCTGGGTGGAAAATAAGCTAAGGCTGTGATTGACACTGCATCACAAGAGTTTCCAATCCTTGGCAGCGAAGCTGTGCAACCCTTTCATTGTCTTATCCAGCCGCCAATTTCATCGTCCCAAAATGGGGAATGTGGCACAAACCAAAGCAATCATTGATCTCGAAAAAAGGACCTCTGAAGAAGAACTAAAGGTATGCATATGCATATTTTTAATATTGTTATGTTTTCCATGTTTTACCATTTACTCTATACACCAGGTTTTAAAATACTCTTGGAAATCTCTGTTTTTGTTTTTTGATGATCTACTTGTGATGCAAAATAGTGTAGCATTTGCGCAGGGAGCGGCCGGATCTCGAGATATACAGGCGCTAGTAAACCTTCGAAGATTCAAGCCATGGTGGAACTTTCGTAACTATATCATCCCTGAAGTTTATCTGGAGATCCGGCCGCTCCTCAAGCCATGGTGGAACTTTCGTACCTTTTCGGCAGCGTAGGACTTTGAGCCTTGGAAATAAGCCAAGGCCGTGATTGTCTGAACTCAATTGGGGCCACACTACATCATCATGATCATAGAGCCCAAGCATCTCCAATCCTGGAAGGGATGCAATGGATGATGGAATATTTTCGATCCCCATCAAGTGCGCCCATCTTAAAAGAGTCATCTGGTCTGTTGGCTCAAAGAAATCATTGGGGAGCTGCCTCATACAGCCCTTCCGCAAAGATAATGTGAACCGTTTCACCTTCAGCTGTGATCTCTCGGTTGGCATCAAGAGTCTCCTCATGTAACCTTCTACTCTCAGTCCATCAAGGTCTTTGGGGAGTTGTGTCACAAAGAGAGGCAAATGCTCCCATGTATTATCAAGAGCCACAACGAATGTTAACCTCTTCAGATTTGGAAGACTTGCTGCCAAATCATCCTTGAACTCCGACTGTGCAATGCGCAGATTTCGAAGCTCCAGATGTTCGAGGCATGGGAACAATCCATCCAGACTGAAGAACTGGATACCACTGCAGTCTAGGTCAAGTTTTCGTAGCCGTTGAAAGCCCTTTAACCAAGACAGGTCTTTCATTGTCTCATTGTTTGTGATGGATAAAAATTGTAGCTGCAGCCATTCGAGGCTTTCGGCATTGTTTTCACCGTCTTGTACCCCATAAATGGTAAAGTTCTGAAGCTGTTTGGAATTCTTAAACATTCGTTTCCAGTCAAGTTTGATAGTCGATTCCACCCTAATGTGACATTGTCTTAGATTGACAAGTTGCCACAGGCCGGTGAAATCGGCAAAGTCCATGCTCTTTGCCTGCAACTCCAGTGTCTCAATGTCCTCTAGTGCACCAAGGCTGTGAGGTATTTTTATTGTTGCATTATTGAAGAGGTTTAGCTTTAAATGTCTTAGCTTGTGTAGGCTTGAAATTCCACTCAAATCCACAGCTAACTCCTTACCGGAATGAAGCTCCAGCTCTTCCAAGTTGAATAATTGGGGCAGTAATGCAAAGTTGAATTTTGTGATCTCATCGCATTTCAAAACCTTCAGTGATGTCAAGCTGAAGAGCGCATCTGGCAATTGAGGCACATCATCGAAGGATCGAACGTCAAGCACTTGAAGGTTTCTCAGCTTGGATATGCTCTCTGGAATAGAACGGATAGAGCTTCCATTGAAGCTCAATACCTTGACATTTTGGATGTGATCTATAATAAGACTGACATCCGCACCAGAAATTCCATGACATCTATCGAGAAGCAAGACATCTCGCACATGAATGTCGGACAAAAGGCTGCTTGTAACCTTCTTTCCAATGAATGAAACTTTAGAAAATGTTGGAGAAATCCCAGGTGGACAATCATAGCCAAACAGGCATCCATCTTAGTCGAATGCTAACAGCAATGGAGGATAAAACAGGCCGACTCAAAGGCAGCATTTCCAGCGGAGAAAAAACCGGACTACAAGGTTGCAAAGGCACGGTCTTTGGCATCTCAACTTGAACGTCTAGGCTTGCCATCGGGAAGTATGCAAAACTCTTCCGTTGGCGCGGCTTTTGAGGAGTCCAAACAAAGGCTCCATAATCTAGATGCTTTGGAAGGAGAAGGCGTGACGACCTCTCTAGATCTCGAGGAGCTACAAATTGACGGTCACCGTCGTGAGGGTAAAGCTCCACAGTTTTACTATTTTCATGTGTTTGTATCTCTGGTTACAGCCGAAGGAGAACCGTTTCAGGACCTCTGAAGAACTAAAGGTATGCATATGCATATTCTTAATATTGTTATGTTTTCCATGTTTTACCATTTACTCTATACACCAGATTTTAAAATACTCAAAACCACGAGAGTAAAGTAATATCCTGAGAATACGATTTGTAAGAAAAACAGAAACTGTGTCTTCTCCAAACGCTGCTGACGGCTTGGAAATCTCTGTTTTTGTTTTTTGAGTGATGCAAAATAGTGTAGCATTTGCGCAGATCGAGAACCCAATCGATGTCCACTGAAGGAGCAAGGTTTAAGCCCAGAAGATTATCTGGAGATCCGGCCGCTCCTCAAGCCATGGTGGAACTTTCGTACCTTTTGGGCAGTATACGACTTTGAGCCTGGGAAATAAGCCAAGGCCGTGATTGTCTGAACTCAATTGGCGCCACACTACATCATCATGATCAGAGAGCACAAGTGTTTCCAATCCTGGAAGGGATGCAACGGATGATGGAATATCTTCAATCCCAGACAAGTGCACCAATCTTAAAAGAGTCATCTGGTCTGTTGGCTCAAAGAAATCATTGGGGAGCTGCCTCATACAGCCCTTCCGCAAAGATAATGTGAACCGTTCCACCTTTAGCTGTGATCTCTCGGTTGGCATCAAGAGTCTCGTCATGTAACCTTGTACATCCAGCAAATTAAGGTCATTGGGGAGTTGTGTCACAAAGAGAGGCAAATGCTCCCATGTATTATCAGGAGCCAGATTGAATGTTAAGGTCTTCAGGTTTGGAAGACTTGCTGCCAAATCATCCTTGAACTCCGACTGTGCAATGTGCAGATTTCGAAGCTCCAGCCATTCGAGGCATTGGAACGATCCATCCAGACTGAAGAACTGGATACCACTGAAGTCTAGGTGAAGTTCTCGTAGCCGTTGAAAGCCCTTTAACCAGGACAGGTCTTTCATTGTCTCATTGTTTCTGATCGTTAAAAATTGTAGCTGTGGCCATTCATGGCTTTCGGCATTGTTTTCACCATCTTGTACCCCGTCAATTGAAAAGTGCTGAAGCTGTTTGGAATTCTTAAACATTCGCTTCCAGTCAAGTTTGATAGTCGATTCCACCCTAACGTCACATCGTCTTAGATTGACAAGTAGCCATGGGTCGGTGAAATCGGCGAAGTCCATGCTCTTTGCCCGCAACTGCAGTGTCTCAATGTCCACTAGTGCACCAAGGCTGTGAGGTATTTTTATTGTTGCATTGTGGAGGTCTAGCTCTAAATGTCTTAGCTTGTGTAGGCTAGCTAACTCCTCATTGTGAGGTATTTTTATTGTTGCATTGTAGAGACTTAGCTCTAAATGTCTTAGCTTGTGTAGGCTTGAAATTCCACTCAAATCCACATCCTCAGAGGAATGAAGCTCCAGCTCGGATTCGTGTTGGCGAGTTCATTTCCTTCAGTTTTCCCAAGCCTGAAGCCGAAAGTAAGAAGAAGTTCTTTGAGCACAAGAAGGTTCGGCCAAAAGCGAGCTCCGACATTGTAAGGTTCTTGACAAAAGCTTCAGGAGAGGTACGTTTCACTTGACTTGTTTCTTCGTTTTAATTCTAACCATTTGCTCACAGAGAGGACGGCTTCCAGCCGACTGGGCCAAGTGTTTGATACCTTTGGGAAGTGCAAAATGGCACCAGAGGCTCTTTCTCTTATGAGCAGCATAGTTCTCCATTTGAGGTAGAGTTTTCTGTGTTTACCAGAGACGTTATGTATATGATGTGCTTGCAGAGTTTATATCAACAAGTCAGAAGCCTTACGAGGAGGGGGATGAGCGCGGATTGAAGCTTCTGCAAGCTATCTTGAAGCCGTTAATGCTTCGAAGAACAAAAGATTCAACTGATAGAGAAGGAAGGTAAGCATTTTTTTCTTTGCACCGTGCCTTGTCTTGTATTCACTCACAAGTTGGATTCACAGACCAATTCTTGTTCTCCAACCGGCTCAATGTGAGGTTATTGAATGCAAACTATCTGAGCCTGAACGTGATTTTTATGATGCCCTTTAGAACAGATCTAAGGCATGAAGAACTTCTCTTTCTTTTATTTTCTCTTTTTTCTGAACACGTTTTTGCGTTTGTGATCAGGTAAAATTCGATCAGTTCGTTGAACAAGGTAAAGTTCTCCATAACTATGCCTCGATCCTCGAACTGCTACTTCGATTACGGCAAGCTTGTGATCATCCTTTTCTTGTTCTGAGGTAGAAAATGCATCCTCTTATGTCTGAAGTTCCTGACGTTTTCTTCATCACGCAGCCGTGGCGATACTGAAGACTTTGCGGACCTAAGAATTCCTCCCAGGTGCCTTCGACGGCGTATGTCAAAGAGGTGGTGGATGATATTCATAAAGGAGAAAGTGCTGAGTGCCCAATTTGTTTGGAGATGCACGCAGTTCTTACACCATGCGCTCATCGAATGTGCCGTGAGTGCCTATTTAATAGCTGGCGTACTAGCGCCGGAGGTCCCTGTCCAATATCCGAGGTAACATATTGTTTTTTTTCTCGAGCTCTTTTCCATATCCATAGCTATCATGCAGGCGTTCCTGTACGAAATAGGAACTCATAACTGTACCAACAAGTAATCGGTTTCGAATAAATGTCGAGGAGCAGTGGAAGGAGTCGTCCAAAGTCGAGGCTCTGCTGCACCACCTCCAAACGTTAAGTGAGGCCGGGTCGAAAAGCGTTGATTTTAATCAGTGGACAGCGTTTCTCGACTTGTTAGAGATACCATTGAAAAGGTACGAGCGTCTTTCCTTTTGGTGCTTTCTCTTTGTTTGTGTTTCTAACAATGCACCGCCAGGAAGAACTTCTGTTTCGTCCGCTTGGACGGAACACTATCGCAGCGTCAGCGAGAACAAGTGCTCAAAAGCTTCAGCAATATTCCAGCCGTGGCCGTAAGCTTTTTGTGTTGCTTACCTCCAAGAAACCACTCTATTTTGTGGACAGGTCATGCTCTCATGCTTTTCTCATGGTACGCGCTATAGTTTTCTTTTTTAGCCATCTTCCGAGTCGAGAATGTGGACGATCGAGCATCGGTCAGACGAAGAACGTATCGATCAAGCGATTCATCGTCAAAGTAAGCGCCACTTGAAACTCTCTTTGACGTTTCTCATGTCTCTAGAGCAGGACTCGGTGGAGGAGAGAATGCAACAGGTCCAAGCGAGGAAGCAGCGATTGATCGCGAGGGCTCTCACAGACGAAGAGGTGCGAAGCGCTCGAATCGAGGAGCTCAAAATGCTATTTAGATGAGAAGAAGCATTTTAACTTAGTGTACATAGTTAAAGAGGAGAATATGCTTCTAGCATCGGCGCTTGGGTACAAGCACTTTTAGGTTTCTTCCTATGGCGGACAGCGAAGGAGCAGGCGATCGCGTCGCAAGCGGCGACGAGCAAGGTATGCATGCTAGGATCGAGAAGCAGCAGCAGCGCCAGCGCCGGCGCCGCGCCGCGATTTCGCTGGCCTAGAGAGCCGGAGTAGCCGATCTAGATTCATGCAAGCATATCATCTCTAGGAAATTGAGCTGAACGCTGAGGCTTTGCAGGCGATCGCGTCGATTCCTCTCGTCTCCGCGGCCAGGGCGGCTAGAAAGCCGGGGCGCATTCTAGAGTTTCGGAGTTTCTGGGGCGATCAGTCATGTAGCGGGCAGTGATTCTCTCACATGGAGCTGGGAGTCAGCCATGACGTGGAATCCGCCACAAGTTCCTCCCAGCTTGTCCGCCTTGACTGCCACTACTCAGGCCGAGGATGAACTGGGCGTGGATGTGTCGTCTCCCAGCGGCGATTTGCTGCTCCATTTTCTCAAGAGCGGTGGGGGCGACGAGCAGCTGAGGAGCAGTAGCAGCTACAGGACCCAGCAGTCGCACCTTACGGTCCCTGCCACAGCTTTGCTCCTTCTGGAGGACCTGGAGGAGGAGGAGAAGGTCCTCCTCCACGACCACTCTACGTCCCAGCAATAAGATTTGGTGGGTGGTCACCTCACTTCCAGCAGCACCAAGACCCACTTTTCCCTTCGGATCCATTCTTGACTCCGTCGGACCACTGATTTCTACGCTCGTTTGCTCCTCTTCCAGTCGAGAGACCGTTCCATCCAGTGCCGTATCCTTTTCTAAATGCTCCGACTTTGCAGCCTGCTGATACAGTGGTTCATCCGCCGCATTCCTCTGGGGAGCTTAAAGCTCGTCCTGGCCTTCACTTCGAGTCTCCGGTGTTTGGACCCAGCGCAGCAGAGACCTCGGACTCCAAACGCGCCCCAGAGCAGCCGAGGAGATCGGTTACACACAAGCAACAATTCCACGGCAATGGTTCCGAGCTCCTTCAGTTGTTACAGGGTGGTTCTGGTCGTGTGAAGCCCACAGCCTCCACAAAGGTGGATGCTACACAGGACAGTGGAGATTCTGGAGAGCCATCAAAGAAAGGAAGTCCATCTGCTGTTCACGGCCCCATAGGACCGCCGAGGCGTCATGTCGTTTCTCCTCCGCAGAGTCCAAATGACCTCCTTGGACGTTTGTGGGCTGCTCTTCCGTCGTCAGGCCACACTTTGTTTGACGGAGAAAGCAAACGCAAGACGTCAGCCCGGAGCTTTGGCGTTGAAGTGAACGAGGTGTCCCGGGAAGTCGATGGCGGTGGAGCTGCTGGTTTCGCACTTTTGAAGCGAAGGGGATCGGAGCCTGCCGCCTCGCACTGCCTTTAAACGGCTACGCCTATAACGACTCTAAGACAAATGATAAGCCAAGGACAAACTCAGCATCCGGAAGACTACAGGACTATCGTGGGAGATACGTAAATGGAGAGGCCGAAGTTGAGCCCGGAGGCGATGACTTTAGAGGTGCGGGAAGGCGTCGAGGTACCGGTCGTGCAGACGCCAGACGCGGTGGTCGGGGTGCTGTTGGCCAGTGGATTGCGGTAAATGAGAGGCATAAAGATGCTGAGCCAAGTGACATCACCTCCTGCGATATCTCTGATGGAAGGGACGAGTCGCTTAAATCTTCAAACGGGACTTAGTCGAATGCTAGGACAAAACATCAACAGGAATGGAGGATAAAACAGGCTGACTCAAAGGCAGCATTTCCAGCGGAGAAAAAACCGGACTACAAGGTTCCAAAGGCACGGTCTTCGGCATCTCAACTTGGCATCTCAACTTGAACGTCCAGGCTTGCCATCGGGAAGTACGCAAAACTCTTCCGTTGGTGCGGCTTTTGAGGAGTCCAAACAGAGGCTCCATAATCTAGATGCTTTGGAAGGAGAAGGCGTGACGACCTCTCTAGATCTCGAGGAGCTACAAATTGACGGTCACCGTCGTGAGGGTAACACTCCACAGTTTGACAAGGTTTGTGCTTGCCTTTTTTCTTTCTTTATTTTCATGTGTTTGTATCTCTGGTTACAGCCGAAGGAGAACCGTTTCAGGACCTCTGAAGAACTAAAGGTATGCATATGCATATTCTTAATATTGTTATGTTTTACCATTTACTCTATACACCAGATTTTAAAATACTCAAAACCACGAGAGTAAAGTAATATCCTGAGAATACGATTTGTAAGCAAAACAGAAACTATGTCTTCTCCAAACGCTGCTGACGGCTTGGAAATCTCTGTTTTTGTTTTTTGAGTTATGCAAAATAGTGTAGCATTTGCGCAGATCGAGAACCCAATCGATGTCCACTGAAGGAGCAAGGTTTAAGCCCAGAAGATTATCTGGAGATCCGGCCGCTCCTCAAGCCATGTTGGAACTTTCGAACCTTTTGGGCAGTATACGACTTTGAGCCTGGGAAATAAGCCAAGGCCGTGATTGTCTGAACTCAATTGGGACCACACTACATCATCATGATCAGAGAGCACAAGTTCCTCCAATCCTGAAAGGGATGCAACGGATGATGGAATATCTTCGATCCCATAGAAGTGCACACGTCTTAAAAGAGTCATCTGGTCTGTTGGCTCAAAGAAATCATTGGGGAGCTGCCTCATACAGCCCTTCCGCAAAGATAATGCGAACCGTTTCACCTTCAGCTGTGATCTCTCGGTTGGCATCAAGAGTCTCCTCATGTAACCTTCTACTCTCAGTTCCTCAAGGTCTTTGGGGAGTTGTGTCACAAAGAGAGGCAAATGCTCCCATGTATTATCAGGAGCCAGATAGAATCTTAACCTCTTCAGGTTTGGAAGACTTGCTGCCAAATCATCCTTGAACTTCGACTGTGCAATGTGCAGGTTTCCAAGCTCCAGCCATTCGAGGCATGGGAACGATCCATCCAGACTGAAGAACTGGATACCACTGCAGTCTAGTTGAAGTTCTCGTAGCCGTTGAAAGACCTTTAGCCAAGACAGGTCTTTCATTGTCTCATTGTTTATGATCGTTAAAAGTTGTAGCTGTGGCCATTCAAGGCTTTCGGCATTGTTTTCACCGTCTTGTACCCCGTCAATCGAAAAGTTCTGAAGCTGTTTGGAATTCTTAAACATTCGCTTCCAGTCAAGTTTGATAGTCGATTGCACGCTAATGTGACATCGTCTTAGATTGACAAGTTGCCACGGGCCGGTGAAATCGCCAAAGTCCATGCTCTTTGCACGCAACTCCAGTGTCTCAATGTCCACTAGTGCACCAAGGTTGTGAGGTATTTTTATTGTTGCACCTTTGAAGTCTAGCTTTAAATCTCTTAGCTTGTGTAGGCTTGAAATTCCACTCAAATCCATAGCCACAGCTAACTCCTTACAAGATTCAAGCTCCAGACGTTTGAGGCATGGGAACGATCCATCCAGACTGAAGAACTGGATACCACTGCAGTCTAGGTGAAGGTCTCGTAGCCGTTGAAAGACCTTTAGCCAAGACAGGTCTTTCATTGTCTCATTGTTTGCGATGGATAAAGCTTGTAGCTGCAGCCATTCGAGGCTTTCGGCATTGTTTTCACCGTGTTGTACCCCGTCAATCGAAAAGTGCTGAAGCTGTTTGGAATTCTTAAACATTCGCTTCCAGTCAAGTTTGATAGTCGATTTCACCCTAATCTCACATCGTTTCAGATTGACAAGTTGCCACGGGCCTGTGAAATCGCCAAAGTCCATGCTCTTTGCACGCAACACCAGTGTCTCAATGTCCTCTAGTGCACCAAGGCCGTGAGGTATTTTTATTGTTGCCTTGTGGAGGCCTAGCTCTAAATGTCTTAGCTTGTGTAGGCTTGAAATTCCACTCAAATCCACAGCTAACTCCTCAAAGGAATAAAGCTCCAGCTCTTCCAAGTTGAATAATTGGGGCACTAATCCAAAGTTGAGATTTCTGGTAGCCTTGCATTTCAAAACCTTCAGTGATGTCAAGCTGAAGAGCGCATCTGGTAATATTGTCACACTTGATGGTACAAGGCACATCTCTCGAAGGTCAAGCACTTGAAGGTTTCTCAGCTTGGATATGCTCTCTGGAATAAAACGGACCAAATTATCGCATCCATTCAAGCTCAATACCTTGACATTTTGGATGTGATCTATAATAAGACTGACATCCACACCAGAAATTTTATGACATCGATCGAGAAGCAAGACATCTCGCACATGAATGTCAGACAAAAGGCTGCTTGTAACCTTCTTTCCAATGAATGAAACTTTAGAAAATGTTGGAGAAATCCCAGGTGGACAATCATAGCCAAACAGGCATCCCTTCTCGTGCTCTTCCTGGGGTGGGTACTTCCCTTTCAAGATTCTTATGCACAGCTTGCGTACCATATCGTGCACAGTTACATACTTGTCCCGAAGTATACTAGTTGTCTTCACTAGGCATCTTCGTTCCAGTTCACTAACAATCTGCAGAGGCGAGAGTTCTGACCCAACCGCTATCCAACATTTTCTCAGATCATCAAAGTTGATGTTCCAATCTTCTGGAAACGCAGCCACATAGAGAAAGCACTCTTGCAGCTTTTCATCCTTATTAAAGCGTCCCAGCTCGTCATAGCTAAACTTCAAGCGCTGGAACATCCGCTTCTCAATGTCCCCGTCATTCAACAAATGCATCTTCTGATAGCGTTCTTTCCACACCTGTGGCCCCTCATTCCTGTAGACAGCCATGGCACTGCCAATCACTTCAAGAGCTAGAGGGAGCCCCTCACATTTGCTAGCTATTCTCTCGGCAACTTTCACAATGTCCGGATCACTAGGTCGTGAATCACGAAAGGCAAACTTCCAAAACATCTTTTCGCTCTCGGCCTTTGATAGCATACACACACGAAATGTTTTTGCACCCAGCATGCTCAAAATGTCTTCCTTTCTGGTTGTTACCAGCACCCGGCTGTAAGAGGACGACCCTGCCATAAAATCCAGTCTCTCGGCCCAGCTCATGTCCCACACATCATCCAGTATCAGCAAGACACAAATTCCACGAGCAACATTTTGTGCCAAGTGCTGCACATGCTCAAGGGTGCCTGCATTTTGGGCCCTCTCTTTCATGCCGCCCCATTCAAGAGCGTTGAGGAGCTGGGCCCTGAGATCATCCTCCGATGCATCTTTCTTGACAGTAATCCACACAATGTTGTCATGGAAATGCTGGCGGACCCTCTGGTCATTGTTCACGAATCTTGCAAGGGTGGTCTTGCCACACCCTCCCATTCCCAGGAGTCCAAACCATTTCCCCGGGGCTTGTGGATCCAGGAGGGCATTCACCACCTCATCCACCTGCTCCCCATGGCGGCCAAACATGTCGCTGGGCTCGGGAACACCATGCCGTACATACTTTACGAGACCTCTGTCTTGTGGACAGCTCCGTACGGAAAAGCTGGTGCTCGGCTGTATCACTCTCAACTCTTCTCGCTCGTACCTTTCAATGTGCGGGAGGAGATCGTTCTCGCAAGTGCGTACCAGCTCCGAAATCGCGCCAGATCGCTTCTCCCTGCGCGACAGATCCATCTTTTAGCTCCATTGCTTCAAACATGAATTCGAATAAGCCTTACTGTGATCCAAGCAGCGCTTGCGCCGTCTTAGTCCATTCAGTCAGTTCAGTCAGCCACGCCTCAGCCTCACCAGAGTAGCGGAAATCTGGATTCCTGTGCTTGGGAGCATTAAACTTGTCGAGCGTGGCCTGGATTCTGGATGCCCTCTTCTTTAGCTCCTCAATGTGGACATTCAGCTCATGCTCGTGACCTTGGATCTGCGACAGGAGATCGTCGTAGGCACTTAAGGACTTCGCGATCTCGTTACTCCGCTTGTACCTATAGGAAGTGGAGAAGTTCAACCAGCTGCCTGCCATTTCTACACACACACACACACACAAAAGATAAAATGCTACTGTACCGACCGCTTTATGGGGCTCCAGATCCTGTTGTGGCGTGATCCCAAGAGTGCTTGTGCGTTGGTGTTCCATTTCCTGACACGCTCCAAGCATTCCTCGGCCGCTTGAGAGAACGTGAAGCCAGAATTCTGCTGCTTGTGATCACTGAAAGCGTTGATCTTGGCCTGGATGTGGTGCGCCTTGTTCTCCAGCGTTTCAATGTTGGCATTGCAGTCCCATATCTTCTTAGCAGGGGCCAGAGCCAAGCCACACAAGACGCTTGTCAAGGAGCCCACAACCTCCATGGCTGTAGACCTACAAGTAAAGGTTGTCTCCCTCCCAGAAAGAAGCGCAATATTAACTCTTGACCTTGTAGATCGGAATTCTTCACTTTTTTCACAGCTGTGACTCACTCACTCTAAGAGATTCACAGTGAGCACCGCAACGATCGCTACATCGCTCGCAAGAAACACCTCTATTTGTCCAAACAGACAAAGGTGAAGTACTTTTAAGACGCCCGAGAAGAACATCGTCTTTTCTCTTGTACGGCGTTGATCCAGGCGTACGGGAATAGAGGGCTCCTCTGCCGATCTTTGATGGGATCCGGGCGATCTTGTCACCGACGTCTTGAAAGATCTTAGATTCTATCCGCAATCGCCCAGTCAATGCGATCCTGGCGATGGGTGCTCCATATCATTCTATTCCCGCCCGGACGTGATCTCCAGGATTTGCGAAGAAGAAGCTCTTCGATCAGATGCGCGATGCTGGCGCGCAATTGATTGGAGCTTCCCGCTACATTTTCCCGCGCTATCGTCTCTACTTCTCCATTCTAGGGTTCTTTCTTGGAGGCGACGTAGGTTTTCTATTGCCCGCGTGGTCGAGGAGACGGCGCTGGGGGGCGGCCTTGATCGGCGTTCTGGAGCTGCCCCTGCAAAAGCTGAGGCTTCTAGGACAGCAAAAATTGCCGAGGTGAGCAATGATAGTGGAGCAGAGGATTTATATGATTCGGGAGTAGAAAGTGGAGCAATCGATGGTGAGGAAGAAGAGGTAAACAAGATTATGGCTGGAGGAGGAAACGATGCTGAGGTGGAAAGAACAACAGTGGTCGAGAGCTCCATTGAGACTGTCAGGAAACATGGCGAAGCTGTTTCTACTTTCAATCAGAGGTAGTGCCTTGACCCACGGTAATCCCGTTAAGATGGAAGCTGGTTGTGGTTCCGTGAAAGCTGAAGCTTCGGTTTCGATCGCAGCTGGATGTGATCCTATGAAAGTAGATGGCTTGGTGAAGATGGAAGCTGGTTTTGAGTCTGCAAGAGTCGAAGCCCCGGTTGGCTCGGTGAAGATGGAACCTGGTTATCATACTGTGAAAGTTGAAACTCCATTCGGGGGTGGTAAAGCTGCCCATTTGTCTGAAGCGAAGGTGGTTCCAATAGAAAATGACACGGCTAAAGCTGCAGAAAAGCAACCGGTTGTTTTAGATGCAGAGAGGTGGTGGCTTCTCCAAGAGACTGAAGTTGCCGGGTACTCGACGTCCAGGGGATGCCGGATTCGTGTTGGCGAGTTCGTGTCCTTCAATTTTCCCAAGCCTGAAGCCGAAAGTAAGAAGAAGTTCTTTGAGCACAAGAGGGTTCGGCCGAAAGCGAGCTCCGACATTGTAAGGTTCTTGACAAAAGCTTCAGGAGAGGTACGTTTCACTTGACTTGTTTCTTCGTTTTACTTCTAACCATTTGCTCACAGATAGGACGGCTTCCAGCCGACTGGGCCAAGTGTTTGATACCTTTGGGAAGTGCAAAATGGCACCAGAGGCTCTTTCTCTTATGAGCAGCATAGTTCTCCATTTGAGGTAGAGTTTCTGTGTTTACCAGAGACGTTACGTATATGATGTGCTTGTGTTTATATCAACAAGTCAGAAGCCTTACGAGGAGGGGGTTGAGCGCGGATTGAAGCTTCTGCAAGCTATCTTGAAGCCGTTAATGCTTCGAAGAAAAAAAGATTCAACTGATAAAGAAGAAAGGTAAGCATTTTTTTCTTTGCACCGTGCCTTGTCTTGTATTCACTCACAAGTTGGATTCACAGACCAATTCCTGTTCTCCAACCGGCTCAATGTGAAGTTATTGAATGCAAACTATCTGAGCCTGAATGCCCTTTACCACAGATCTAAGGCATGAAGAACTTCTCTTTCTTTTATTTTCTCGTTTTTTCTGAACACGTTTTTGCTTTTGTGATCAGGTAAAATTCGATCAGTTCGTTGAACAAGGTAAAGTTCTCCATAACTATGCCTCGATCCTCGAACTGCTACTTCGATTACGGCAAGCTTGTGATCATCCTTTTCTTGTTCTGAGGTAGAAAATGCATCCTCTTATGTCTGAAGTTCCTGACGTTTTCTTCGTCACGCAGCCGTGGCGATACTGAAGACTTTGCGGACCTGGGAAAGCTGGCTAGACGTTTCTTGGACAAGAATTCCTCCCAGGTGCCTTCGACGGCTATGTCAAAGAGGTGGTGGATGATATTCGTAAAGGAGAAAGTGCTGAGTGCCCAATTTGTTTGGAGATGCACGCAGTTCTCACACCATGCGCTCATTGAATGTGAGCGCCGGAGGTCCCTGTCCAATATCCGAGGTAACATATTGTTTTTTTTCTCGAGCTCTTTTCCATATCCATAGCTATCATGCAGGCGTTCCTGTACGAAATAGGAACTCATAACTGTACCAACAAGTAATCGGTTTCGAATAAATGTCGAGGAGCAGTGGAAGGAGTCGTCCAAAGTCGAGGCTCTGCTGCACCACCTCCAGACGTTAAGTGAGGCCGGGTCGAAAAGCGTTGTTTTTAGTCAGTGGACAGCGTTTCTCGACTTGTTAGAGATACCATTGAAAAGGTACGAGCGTCTTTCCTTTTGGTGCTTTCTCTTTGTTTGTGTTTCTAACAATGCACTGCCAGGAAGAACTTCTGTTTCGTCCGCTTGGACGGAACACTATCGCAGCGTCAGCGAGAACAAGTGCTCAAAAACTTCAGCAATATTCCAGCCGTGGCCGTAAGCTTTTCGTGTTGCTTACCTCCAAGAAACCACTCTATTTTGTGGACAGGTCATGCTCATGCTTTTCTCATGGTATGCGCTATAGTTATCTTTTTTAGCCATCTTCCGAGTCGAGCATCGGTCAGACGAAGAACGTATCGATCAAGCGATTCATCGTCAAAGTAAGCGCCAGTTGAAACTCTCTTTGACGTTTCTCATGTCTCTAGAGGCGAGACATGAGACAGAAGAACTGGAACATAGTTAAAGAGGGGAATATGCTTCTAGCATCGGCGCGTAGATAGTTCATAGGCTATGGATATAGGAGCTTTGGCTAGGTTACAAGCATTTCTAGGTTTCTTCGCGGCTATGGCGGACAGCGAAGGAGCAGGCGATCGCGTCGCAAGCGCGTTTGATTCCGGCAGCATCGGCGACGAGCAAGGTATGCATGCTAGGATCGCCTCGAGAAGCAGCAGCAGCGCCGGCGCCGGCGCCGCGCCGCGATTTCGCTGGCCTAGAGCCGAGTATGATCTCTAGGAAATTGAGCTGAACGCTGAGGCTTTGCAGGCGATCGCGTTGATTCCTCTCGTCTCCGCGGCCGGGGCGGCTAGAAAGCCGGGGCGCATTCTAGAGTTTCGGGGTTTCTGGGGCGATCAGTCATGTAGCGGGCAGTGATTCTCTCACAGGGAGCTGGAAGTCAGCCATGACGTGGAATCCGCCACAAGTTCCTCCCAGCTTGTCCGCCTTGACTGCCACTACTCAGGCCGACGATGAACTGGGCGTGGATGTGTCGTCTCCCAGCGGCGATTTGCTACTCCAATTTCTCAAGAGTGGTGGGGGCGACGATTAGCTGAGGAGCAGTAGCAGCTACAGGACCCAGCAGTCGCAGCTCACGGTCCCTGCCACAGCTTTGCTCCTTCTGGAGGAGGAGGAGAAGGTCCTCCTCCACGACCACTCTACGTCCCAGCAACAAGATTTGGTGGGTGGTCACCTCACTTCCAGCGGCACCAAAACCCACTTTTCCCTTCGGATCCATTCTTGACTCCGTCGGACCACTGATTTCTACGCTCGTTTGCTCCTCTTCCAGTCGAGAGACCGTTCCATCCGCCAGTGCCGTATCCTTTTCCAAATGCTCCGACTTTCCAGCCTGCTGATAATGTGGTTCATCCGCCGCATTCCTCTGGGGAGCTTAAAGCTCGTCCTGGCCTTCACTTCGAGTCTCCGGTGTTTGGACCCAGCACAGCAGAGACCTCGGACTCCAAGCGCGCCCCAGAGCAGCCGAGGAGATCGGTTACACCTGCGAAGGATGACAAGCAACAATTCCACGGCAATGGTTCCGAGCTCCTTCAGTTGTTACAGGGTGGTCCTGGTCGTGTGAAGCCCACAGCCTCCACAAAGGTGGATGCTACACGGGACAGTGGGGATTCTGGAGAGCCATCAAAGAAAGGAAGTCCATCTGCTGTTCACGGCCCCATAGGACCGCCGAGGCGTCATGTCGTTTCTCCTCCGCAGAGTCCAAATGACCTCCTTGGACGTTTGTGGGCTGCTCTTCCGTCGTCAAGCCACACTTTGTTTGACGGAGAAAGCGAACGCAAGACGTCAGCCCGGAGCTTTGGCGTTGAAGTGAACGAGATGTCCCGGGAAGTCGATGGAGGTGGAGCTGCTGGTTTCGCACTTTTGAAGCGAAGGGGATCGGAGCCTGCCGCCTCGCACTACCTTTAAACGACTACGACTATAACGACTCTAAGACAAATGATAAGCCGAGGACAAACTCAGCATCCGGAAGAGTATCGTGGGAGATACGTAAATGGAGAGGCCGAATTTGAGCCCGGAGGCGATGACTTTAGAGGTGCGGGAAGGCGTCGAGGTCCCGGTCGTGCAGACGCCAGACGCGGTGGTCGGGGTGCTGTTGGCCAGTGGATTGCGGTAAATGAGAGGCATAAAGATGCTGAGCCAAGACATCACCTCCTGCGATATCTCTGATGGAAGGGACGAGTCGCTTAAATCTTCAAACGGGACTTAGTCGAATGCTAGGAGAAAACATCAACAGGAATGGAGGATCCGGACTACAAGGTTGCAAAGGCACGGTCTTTGGCATCTCAACTTGAACGTCCAGGCTTGCCATCGGGAAGTACGCAAAACTCTTCCGTTGGCGCGGCTTTTGAGGAGTCCAAACAGAGGCTCCATAATCTAGATGCTTTGGAAGGAGAAGGCGTGACGACCTCTCTAGATCTCGAGGAGCTACAAATTGACGGTCACCGTCGTGAGGGTAAAGCTCCACAGTTTTACAAGGTTTGTGCTTGCTTTTTTTCTTTCTCTATTTTCATGTGTTTGTATCTCTGGTTACAGCCGAAGGAGAACCGTTTCAGGACCTCTGAAGAACTAAAGGTATGCATATGCATATTCTTAATATTGTTATGTTTTCCATGTTTTACCATTTACTCTATACACCAGATTTTAAAATACTCAAAACCACGAGAGTAAAGTAATATCCTGAGAATACGATTTGTAAGAAAAACAGAAACTGTGTCTTCTCCAAACGCTGCTGACGGCTTGGAAATCTCTGTTTTTGTTTTTTGAGTGATGCAAAATGGTGTAGCATTTGCGCAGATCTTCAAAAACCCAATCGATGTCCACTGAAGGAGCAAGGTTTAATCCCTGAATTTTATCTGGAGATCCGGCCGCTCCTCAAGCCATGGTGGAACTTTCGTACCTTTTTGGCAGCGTAGGTCTTTGAGCCTGGGAAATAAGCCAAGGCCGTGATTGTCTGAACTCAATTGGGACCACACTACATCATCATGATCAGAGAGCACAAGTTCCTCCAATCCGGGAAGGGATGCAATGGATGATGGAATATTTTCGATCCTATTCAAGGTTACATCTCTTAGAGCAGTCATCTGGTCTGTTGGCTCAAAGAAATCATTGGGGAGCTGCCTCATACAGCCCTTCCGCAAAGATAATGCGAACCGTTTCACCTTCAGCTGTGATCTCTCGGTTGGCATCAAGAGTCTCCTCATGTAACCTTCTACTCTCAGTTCATCAAGGTCTTTGGGGAGTTGTGTCACAAAGAGAGGCAAATGCTCCCATGTATTATCAGGAGCCAGATAGAATCTTAACCACTTCAGGTTTGGAAGACTTGCTGTGAACTCGGACTGTGCAATGTGTAGATTTTGAAGGCCCAGAACTTCAAGGCATGGGAACGATCCATCCAGACTGAAGAACTGGATACCACTGCAGTCTAGGTGAAGTACTTGTAGCCGTTGAAAGCCCTTTAGCCAAGACAGGTCTTTCATTGTCTCATTGTTTGTGATCCTTAAATATTGTAGCTGTAGCCATTCGAGGCTTTCGGCATTGTTTTCACCGTCTTGTACCCCGTCAATCGAAAAGAGCTGAAGCTGTTTGGAATTCTTAAACATTCGCTTCCAGTCAAGTTTGATAGTCGATTGCACGCTAATGTGACATCGTCTTAGATTGACAAGTTGCCACGGGCCGGTGAAATCGCCAAAGTCCATGCTCTTTGCACGCAACTCCAGTGTCTCAATGTCCACTAGTGCACCAAGGTTGTGAGGTATTTTTATTGTTGCACCTTTGAAGTCTAGCTTTAAATCTCTTAGCTTGTGTAGGCTTGAAATTCCACTCAAATCCATAGCCACAGCTAACTCCTTACAAGATTCAAGCTCCAGACGTTTGAGGCATGGGAACGATCCATCCAGACTGAAGAACTGGATACCACTGCAGTCTAGGTGAAGGTCTCGTAGCCGTTGAAAGCCCTTTAGCCAAGACAGGTCTTTCATTGTCTCATTGTTTATGATCGTTAAAAGTTGTAGCTGTGGCCATTCAAGGCTTTCGGCATTGTTTTCACCGTCTTGTACCCCGTCAATGGTAAAGTCCTGAAGCTGTTTGGAATTCTTAAACATTCGCTTGCAGTCAAGTTTGATAGTCGATCCCACCCTAATCTGACATCGTCTTAGATTGACAAGTTGCCACGGGCCGGTGAAATCGCCAAAGTCCATGCTCTTTGCCCACAACTCCAGTGTCTCAATGTCCTCTAGTGCACCAAGGCCGTGAGGTATTTTTATTGTTGCACCTTTGAAGTCTAGCTTTAAATCTCTTAGCTTGTGTAGGCTTGAAATTCCACTCAAATCCACAGCTAACTCCTCAAAGGAATAAAGCTCCAGCTCTTCCAAGTTGAATAATTGGGGCACTAATCCAAAGTTGAGATTTCTGGTAGCCTTGCATTTCAAAACCTTCAGTGATGTCAAGCTGAAGAGCGCATCTGGTAATATTGTCACACTTGATGGTACAAGGCACATCTCTCGAAGGTCAAGCACTTGAAGGTTTCTCAGCTTGGATATGCTCTCTGGAATAAAAGGGACCAAATTATCGCATCCCTTGAAGCTCAATACCTTGACATTTTGGATGTGATCTATAATAAGACTGACATCCACACCAGAAATTTCATGACATCCATCGAGAAGCAAGACATCTCGCACATGAATGTCAGACAAAAGGCTGCTTGTAACCTTCTTTCCAATGAATGAAACTTTAGAAAATGTTGGAGAAATCCCAGGTGGACAATCATAGCCAAACAGGCATCCCTTCTCGTGCTCTTCCTGGGGTGGGTACTTCCCTTTCAAGATTCTTATGCACAGCTTGCGTACCATATCGTGCACAGTTACAGACTTTTCCCGAAGTCTTTTCCCACTTAAATATGTCTTCACTAGGCATCTTCGTTTCAGTTCACTAACAATCTGCAGAGGCGAGAGTTCTGACCCAACCGCTATCCAACATTTTCTCAGATCATCAAAGTCGATTTGCTCATCTTCTGGAAACGCAGCCACATAGAGAAAGCACTCTTGCAGCTTTTCATCCTTATTAAAGCGTCCCAGCTCGTCATAGCTAAACTTCAAGCGCTGGAACATCCGCTTCTCAATGTCCCCGTCATTCAACAAATGCATCTTCTGATAGCGTTCTTTCCACACCTGTGGCCCCTCATTCCTGTAGACAGCCATGGCACTGCCAATCACTTCAAGAGCTAAAGGGAGCCCCTCACATTTGCTAGCTATTCTCTCGGCAACTTTCACAATGTCCGGATCACTAGGTAGTGAATCATAAAAGGCAAACTTCCAAAACATCTTTTTGCTCTCGTCCTCTGATAGCTTATGCACAGGAAATACCTTTGCACCCAGCTTGCTCAAAATGTCTTCCTTTCTGGTTGTTACCAGCACCCGGCTGTAAGAGGACAGCCCTGCTATAAAATCCAGTCCCTTGGCCAAGCTCATCTCCCACACATCATCCAGTATCAGCAAGACACGAATTCCACGAGCAACATTTTGTGCCAAGTGCTGCACATGCTCAAGGGTGCCTGCATTTTGGGCCCTCTCTTTCATGCCGCCCCAGTCAAGAGCGTTGAGGAGCTGGGCCCTGAGATCATCCTCCGATGCATCTTTCTTGACAGTGATCCATACAATGTTGTCATGGAAATGCTGCCGGACCCTCTGGTCATTGTGCACGAAGCTTGCAAGGGTGGTCTTGCCACACCCTCCCATTCCCAGGAGTCCAAACCATTTCCCCGGGGCTTGTGGATCCAGGAGGGCATTCACCACCTCATCCAGCTGCTCCCCATGGCGGCCAAACATGTCGTTGGCCTCGGGAACACCATGCCGTACATAGTTTACGAGACCTCTGTCTTGTGGACAACTCCGTACGGAAAAGCTGGTGCTCGGCTGTATCCCTCTCAACTCTCGCTCGTACCTTTCAATGTGCGGGAGGAGATCGTTCTCGCAAGTGCGTACCAGCTCCGAAATCGCGCCAGATCGCTTCTCCCTGCGCGACAGATCCATCTTTTAGCTCCATTGCTTCAAACATGAATTCGAATAAGCCTTACTGTGATCCAAGCAGCGCTTGCGCCTTCTTAGTCCATTCAGTCAGTTCAGTCAGCCACGCCTCAGCCTCACCAGAGTAGCGGAAATCTGGATTCCTGTGCTTGGGAGCATTAAACTTGTCAAGCGTGGCCTGGATTCTGGATGCCCTCTTCTTTAGCTCCTCAATGTGGACATTCAGCTCATGCTCGTGACCTTGGATCTGCGACAGGAGATCGCCGTAGGCACTTAAGGACTTCGCGATCTCGTTACTCCGCTTGTACCTATAGGAAGTGGAGAAGTTCAACCAGCTGCCTGCCATTTCTACACACACACACACAAAAGATAAAATGCTACTGTACCGACCGCTTTATGGGGCTCCAGATCCTGTTGTGGCGTGATCCCAAGAGTGCTTGTGCCGTGGTGTTCCATTTCCTGACACGCTCCAAGCATTCCTCGGCCGCTTGAGAGAACGTGAAGCCAGGATTCTGCTGCTTGTGATCACTGAAAGCGTTGATCTTGTGCCGGATGTGGGGCGCCTTGTTCTCCAGCGTTTCAATGTTGGCATTGCAGTCCCATATCTTCTTAGCAGGGCGCAGAGCCAAGCCACACAAGGCGCTTGCCAAGGAGCCCACAACCTCCATGCCTGTAGACCTACAAGTCAAGGTCGTTTCCCTCTTGCAATGCCAGCTGTGGCTCTCTATCTCTCTCTCTCTCTCATACACAAAATAGCTGGGAGGCCTTGACAGATTTTCGATGGCCTGCACAAACCAAACCAGTTCTCGTGGAACATCTTGCTGCGAACGTATGTTGCAAATCGTAGGATGCCCCCGATTCCATGGGAACAGGTTTATGGATGAGGAAAAGAAGCTGTTTGATTCGATCGCTTCTCGTGAAATATTATGATCAAGGGGCTCGACTTCGCAAAGAGGAAAGATGCTATCTCTTCTGGCAGCACCTGCTCGAATAAGGCATTTGGAAGAAGCAAAAACTCTCCTTTTAATGCGATGCCTCGGAGGAAAAACGTGCTTGCAAGAAACACAATGATTGTCAACCATACGCTCTCAAAGAGCCTATTTGACCAGAGCCATACAGGAATCTTGTGTCTTGGGCAGGCATGCTACAACGCATCTTTAAATGAAGGTGGAAGTTGCAACTTCGATGATGCCGAACTAAAACTCTCTCTCATAACTCTGGCTCTCTCTCTCTCTCTCTCTCTCAATAATAACGTTTTGAGCAGCTGTTCTTCCATCCAGGCATTTGCTGTATTCGTTCATCTTTGCATAAACCCCAGCGACCTTCACAACATAAGAGCTAGAGTGATTCACGGTGAGCACTGCAACGATTGCTACCTCGCCAATCTCATCGTCCAAAAGTATGGGGGGCTGTGGGGTACTCGACAGATGTTCACTGGAACATCTTTCTGGGAAAAATCGGTTGAGCGGAGATCCAAGAGCGATGTGGTCGCATGGAACTTGATCCTCGCAGCGTATGCCTAAAACGCTCAGTCTAAAGAGATGTTTCTTTAGAAAAACAATGATCATTCTTTGTTTTACGAGCACGCAAAGTACTTGTGTCTGAGAGTATGAGCATCGTCTTGTCTCTTGTACGGCGTTGATGCAGGCGTTTTGAAATATATGGCTCCTCTGCCGATCTTTGATGGGATCATGGCGATCTTGTCACCGACGTCTTGAAAGATCTTAGATACTATCCACGATCGCCCAGTCGCCTCCTCGAACGCGATCATGGCGATGGGTGCTGCATATCATTCTATTCCCACCCGGACGTGATCTGCAATTATCGTCTTTACTTCTCCATTCTAGGGTTCTTTCTTGGAGGGGATTTAGGTTTTTAATTGCCCGCGTGATCGATGCGGCTTGCCGGCGGAGAAGGCTCAGAAATCCCCATTACCTTGTGCAGCTCCAGAACGCCGATCAAGGCCGCCCCCAGCGCCGTCTCCTTGACAACGAAAGCTTTCGGGCCGTGCGGGATGTCCTTGGCAGCGATGTCTGCGACATGGATCTCGTCCACGCGCTACACTTGGCGAGGAACGATTTGCAAGTGGCCGTGCTCGACACTCCGGGTTTTAGAAATAGGAAGAGGCTCCAGGCGAGGAACGATTTGCAAGTGGCCGCCCACATTGTGCTCGACACTCCTGCAAAAAACTCCTGCAAAAGCTGAGGCTTCTAGGACAGCAAAAATTTCCGAGGTGAGCAATGATAGTGGAGCAGAGGATTTATATGATTCGGGAGTAGAAAGTGGAGCAATCGATGGTGGGGAAGAAGAGGTAAACAAGATTATGACTGGAGGAGGAAACGATGCCGAGGTGGAAAGAACAACAGTGGTGGAGAGCTCCATTGAGACTGTCAGGAAACATGGCGAGGCTGTTTCTAGCGCCTTAGCTGGACTTTCAATCAGAGGTAGTGCCTTGACCCACGGTAATCCCGTTAAGATGGAAGCTGGCTGTGATTCCGTGAAAGCTGAAGCTTCGGTTTCGATCGCAGCTGGATGTGATCCTACGAAAGTAGATGGCTTGGTGAAGATGGAAGCTGGTTGTTTTAGATGCAGAGAGGTGGTGGCTTCTCCAAGAGACTGAAGTTGCCGGGTACTCGACGTCCAGGGGATGCCGGATTCGAGTTGGCGAGTTCGTGTCCTTCAATTTTCCCAAGCCTGAAGCCGAAAGTAAGAAGAAGTTCTTTGAGCACAAGAAGGTTCGGCCGAAAGCAAGCTCCGACATTGTAAGGTTCTTGACAAAAGCTTCAGGAGAGGTACGTTTCACTTGACTTGTTTCTTCGTTTTAATTCTAACCATTTGCTCACAGAGAGGACGGCTTCCAGCCGACTGGTGATACCTTTGGGAAGTGCAAAATGGCACCAGAGGCTCTTTCTCTTATGAGCAGCATAGTTCTCCATTTGAGGTAGAGTTTTCTGTGTTTACCAGAGACGTTACGTATATGATGTGCTTGCAGAGTTTAAAGCCTTACGAGGAGGGGGATGAGCGCGGATTGAAGCTTCTGCAAGCTATCTTGAAGCCGTTAATGCTTCGAAGAAAAAAAGATTCAACTGATAAAGAAGAAAGGTAAGCATTTTTTTCTTTGCACCGTGCCTTGTCTTGTATTCACTCACAAGTTGGATTCACAGACCAATTCCTGTTCTCCAACCGGCTCAATGTGAAGTTATTGAATGCAAACTATCTGAGCCTGAATGCCCTTTACCACAGATCTAAGGCATGAAGAACTTCTCTTTCTTTTATTTTCTCGTTTTTTCTGAACACGTTTTTGCTTTTGTGATCAGGTAAAATTCGATCAGTTCGTTGAACAAGGTAAAGTTCTCCATAACTATGCCTCGATCCTCGAACTGCTACTTCGATTACGGCAAGCTTGTGATCATCCTTTTCTTGTTCTGAGGTAGAAAATGCATCCTCTTATGTCTGAAGTTCCTGACGTTTTCTTCGTCACGCAGCCGTGGCGATACTGAAGACTTTGCGGACCTGGGAAAGCTGGCTAGACGTTTCTTGGACAAGAATTCCTCCCAGGTGCCTTCGACGGCTATGTCAAAGAGGTGGTGGATGATATTCGTAAAGGAGAAAGTGCTGAGTGCCCAATTTGTTTGGAGATGCACGCAGTTCTTACACCATGCGCTCATTGAATGTGAGCGCCGGAGGTCCCTGTCCAATATCCGAGGTAACATATTGTTTTTTTTCTCGAGCTCTTTTCCATATCCATAGCTATCATGCAGGCGTTCCTGTACGAAATAGGAACTCATAACTGTACCAACAAGTAATCGGTTTCGAATAAATGTCGAGGAGCAGTGGAAGGAGTCGTCCAAAGTCGAGGCTCTGCTGCACCACCTCCAGACGTTAAGTGAGGCCGGGTCGAAAAGCGTTGTTTTTAGTCAGTGGACAGCGTTTCTCGACTTGTTAGAGATACCATTGAAAAGGTACGAGCGTCTTTCCTTTTGGTGCTTTCTCTTTGTTTGTGTTTCTAACAATGCACTGCCAGGAAGAACTTCTGTTTCGTCCGCTTGGACGGAACACTATCGCAGCGTCAGCGAGAACAAGTGCTCAAAAACTTCAGCAATATTCCAGCCGTGGCCGTAAGCTTTTCGTGTTGCTTACCTCCAAGAAACCACTCTATTTTGTGGACAGGTCATGCTCATGCTTTTCTCATGGTATGCGCTATAGTTATCTTTTTTAGCCATCTTCCGAGTCGAGCATCGGTCAGACGAAGAACGTATCGATCAAGCGATTCATCGTCAAAGTAAGCGCCAGTTGAAACTCTCTTTGACGTTTCTCATGTCTCTAGAGCAGGACTCGGTGGAGGAGAGAATGCAACAGGTCCAAGCGAGGAAGCAGCGATTGATCGCGGGGGCTCTCACAGACGAAGAGGTGCGAAGCGCTCGAATCGAGGAGCTCAAAATGCTATTTAGATGAGAAGAACTGGAACATAGTTAAAGAGGGGAATATTAAAGAGGGGAATATGCTTCTAGCATCGGCGCGTAGATAGTTCATAGGCTATGGATATAGGAGCTTTGGCTAGGTTACAAGCATTTCTAGGTTTCTTCGCGGCTATGGCGGACAGCGAAGGAGCAGGCGATCGCGTCGCAAGCGCGTTTGATTCCGGCAGCATCGGCGACGAGCAAGGTATGCATGCTAGGATCGCCTCGAGAAGCAGCAGCAGCGCCGGCGCCGGCGCCGCGCCGCGATTTCGCTGGCCTAGAGCCGAGTAGCCGATCTAGATTCATGCAAGCATATGATCTCTAGGAAATTGAGCTGAACGCTGAGGCTTTGCAGGCGATCGCGTCGATTCCTCTGGTCTCCGCGGCCGGGGCGGCTAGAAAGCCGGGGCGCATTCTAGAGTTTCGGGGTTTCTGGGGCGATCAGTCATGTAGCGGGCAGTGATTCTCTCACAGGGAGCTGGAAGTCAGCCATGACGTGGAATCCGCCACAAGTTCCTCCCAGCTTGTCCGCCTTGACTGCCACTACTCAGGCCGACGATGAACTGGGCGTGGATGTGTCGTCTCCCAGCGGCGATTTGCTACTCCAATTTCTCAAGAGTGGTGGGGGCGACGAGCAGCTGAGGAGCAGTAGCAGCTACAGGACCCAGCAGTCGCAGCTCACGGTCCCTGCCACAGCTTTGCTCCTTCTGGAGGAGGAGGAGAAGGTCCTCCTCCACGACCACTCTACGTCCCAGCAACAAGATTTGGTGGGTGGTCACCTCACTTCCAGCGGCACCAAAACCCACTTTTCCCTTCGGATCCATTCTTGACTCCGTCGGACCACTGATTTCGACGCTCGTTTGCTCCTCTTCCAGTCGAGAGACCGTTCCATCCGCCAGTGCCGTATCCTTCTCCAAATGCTCCGACTTTCCAGCCTGCTGATAATGTGGTTCATCCGCCGCATTCCTCTGGGGAGCTTAAAGCTCGTCCTGGCCTTCACTTCGAGTCTCCGGTGTTTGGACCCAGCGCAGCAGAGACCTCGGACTCCAAGCGCGCCCCAGAGCAGCCGAGGAGATCGGTTACACCTGCGAAGGATGACAAGCAACAATTCCACGGCAATGGTTCCGAGCTCCTTCAGTTGTTACAGGGTGGTCCTGGTCGTGTGAAGCCCACAGCCTCCACAAAGGTGGATGCTACACAGGACAGTGGGGATTCTGGAGAGCCATCAAAGAAAGGAAGTCCATCTGCTGTTCACGGCCCCATAGGACCGCCGAGGCGTCATGTCGTTTCTCCTCCGCAGAGTCCAAATGACCTCCTTGGACGTTTGTGGGCTGCTCTTCCGTCGTCAAGCCACACTTCGTTTGACGGAGAAAGCGAATGCAAGACGTCAGCCCGGAGCTTTGGCGTTGAAGTGAACGAGATGTCCCGGGAAGTCGATGGAGGTGGAGCTGCTGGTTTCGCACTTTTGAAGCGAAGGGGATCGGAGCCTGCCGCCTCGCACTACCTTTAAACGACTACGACTATAACGACTCTTAAGACAAATGATAAGCCGAGGACAAACTCAGCATCCGGAAGACTACAGGACTATCGTGGGAGATACGTAAATGGAGAGGCCGAATTTGAGCCCGGAGGCGATGACTTTAGAGATGCGGGAAGGCGTCGAGGTCCCGGTCGTGCAGACGCCAGACGCGGTGGTCGGGGTGCTGTTGGCCAGTGGATTGCGGTAAGTGAGAGGCATAAAGATGCTGAGCCAAGTGACATCACCTCCTGCGGTATCTCTGATGGAAGGGACGAGTCGCTTAAATCTTGAAACGGGACTTAGTCGAATGCTCGGAGAAAACATCAACAGGAATGGAGGATAAAACAGGCCGACTCAAAGGCAGCATTTCCAGCGGAGGAAAAACCGGACTACAAGGTTCCAAAGGCACGGTCTTTGGCATCTCAACTTGAACGTCCAGGCTTGCCATCGGGAAGTACGCAAATCTCTTCCGTTGGTGCGGCTTTTGAGGAGTCCAAACAGCGGCTCCATAATCTAGATGCTTTGGAAGGAGAAGGCGTGACGACCTCTCTAGATCTCGAGGAGCTACAAATTGACGGTCACCGTCGTGAGGGTAAAGCTCCACAGTTTACAAGGTTTGTGCTTGCTTTTTTTCTTTCTTTATTTTCATGTGTTTGTATCTCTGGTTACAGCCGAAGGAGAACCGTTTCAGGGAGTCCAGACGCGTCATTCCCATGCACAGACGTGATCTTCTTTACCGACTGGATCTGCTGAGTTTCACTCGTGAGCTTTTCTGCCTCTACGACGAGCTTATACCAACCGAAGAAGGGGAGGTCCGGAGAAGGAAGTTCTTCTCGAAGCTTAAGTCCCTTTTCGAGAGGGAGCTCCCGGGAACACGGCTCTTTCTTTTCGGATCGTGTGTTAATGCGTTTGGAGTTTGTAACAGTGACATCGATGTTTGCCTCTCCATTGATGAGGAAGAACCAAACAAGATCGAAACTCAACGTGACTCATGGGATAGTTTCTTATCCGAATTCTTAGCCATCCTCCGATCCAGAGAACTTTCCTTTCATTGTTCTTGGCAACAGGGTTGATGTCGATGGAGAGAACAGTAGAGTGGTGAGCTCTTTTGTTTCATCTCTTGCCTCACTTTAAAGCTTGTGTGTCCAGGTTTCCGAGAAGAAAGCCAAGGCCTGGTGTGCTTCCAAGGGAAACATTCTATACTTTGAGGCGTCTGCCAAGGAAGACTACAACCTGGAGGCTGCGTTTCAATGCATTGCCAAGAATGCCTTGAGGAGCGAACCCGAGGAAGACTTGTAACTTTTGCTTGTTTCTTCTTGTGATGTTTCAAGCTCACATTTAACTTCTGGCAGCAGCTATCTTCCAGAGACAATGGACATTACAAATAACAACAGATGGCCAAGATCGTCTGGCTGCGAGTGCTGATCTACTACTACTGTCCCTCTATCGATGAGTGTTTTCGCTTTCATTTTATATGTTTTTTTAATTTCTTTTTATTTTTACTCTCTCCTTTCGATCGTTGGCCTTGGATTTTTTCCCTTCTCAATTTTTTTTTCTTTTTGCTACGAAATAATTTTTCTTCTTCGATCTTGTATCTATTTACTACTAGTAGTGTGCAAATTCTTGTGTTTGTGTATTATTAAATTTTCTTCGTTTCTAATGGATTGCTAGTTGACGATAATTGTGTCACAACATGCCTAGTTTTTCTGGATTCCACAAGTCTGGGTTGAAAATAAGCAAAGGCTGTGATTGACACAAGAGTTTCCAATCCTTGGCAGTGATGCAACTTCGAAGCTGTGTAACCCTTTCATTGTCTTATTCAGCCACCAACTTCATTGTCCAAAAGTATGGGGAATGTGGCAATGTGGATGGCTTGCACAAACCAAACCAATCAGGATCGAGAGAGATCGCGCTACATTGATCTCGAAAGTGCATATTCTTAATATTGTTATGTTTTCCATATTTTACCATTTATTCTATACACAAGGTTTTAAAATACTAGTAATATCGATTTGTAAGAAAAAAAAAGAAACTGTTTCTTCTCCAAACGCTGCTGACGCTGTGAAATCTCTGTTTTCGTTTTTTGATGTCCTGCTTGTGATGCAAAATAGTCGCAGATCTTCAAGAACCCAATCAACGTCCACGGAAGGAGCAAGGTTTATTAGGCGCCGAAACTTATCTGGAGATCCGGCCGTTCCACAAGCCAAGGTGGAACTTTCGTACCTTTTGGGCACCATAGGAATTTGAGCCTTGGAAATAAGTGATTGTCTGAACTCAATTGGGGCCACACTACATCATCATGATCAGAGAGCACAAGTTCCTCCAATCCTGGAAGGGATGCAATGGATGATGGAATATCTTCGATCCCAGACAAGCGCACACGTCTTAAAAGAGTCATTTGGTCTGTTGGCTCAAAGAAATCATTGGGGAGCTTACAGCGCAAAGATAATGTGAACCGTTTCACCTTCAGCTGTGATCTCTCGGTTGGCATCAAGAGTCTCCTCATGTAACTTTTTATATCAACATCCAGTGTATCAAGGTCTTTGGGGAGTTGTGTCACAAAGAGAGGCAAATGCTCCCATGCATTATCAGGAGCCAGATTGAATGTTAAACTTTTCAGGTTTGGAAGACTTGCTGCCAAATCGTCCTTGAACTCGGACTGTGCAATGTGCAGATTTCGAAGCTCCAGACGTTCGAGGCATGGGAACGATCCATCCAGACTGAAGAACTGGATACCAATGCAGTCTAGGAGAAGTTCTCGTAGCCGTTGAAAGCCCTTTACCCAACACAAGTCTTTCATTGTCTCATTCTTTCTGATCCATAAAATTTGTAACTGTGACCATTCAAGGCTTTCGGCATTGTTTTCACCATCTCGTACCCCGTCAATGGAAAAGCTCCAAAGCTGTTTGGAATTCTTAAACATTCGCTTCCAGTCAAGTTTGATAGTCGATTGCACGCTAATGTCACATCGTCTTAGATTGACAAGTTGCCACAGGCTGGTGAAATCACCAAAGTCCATGCTCTTTGCACGCCACACCAGTGTCTCAATGCCCTCTAGTGCACCAAGGCTGTGAGGTATTTTTATTGTTGCACCATAGAGGTTTAGCTTTAAATGTCTTAGCTTGTGTAAGATTGAAATTCCACTCAAATCCACAGCTAACTCCTCAAAGGAATCAAGCTCCAGCTCTTCCAAGTTGAATAATTGAGGCAGTAATGCAAAGTTGAATTTTCTGATGTCATTGCATTTCAAAACCTTCAGTGATGTCAAGCTGAAGAGCGCATCTGGTAATATTGTCACACTTGAATATAGAAGGTCAAGCACTTGAAGGTTTCTCAGCTTGGATATGCTCTCTGCAATAAAACGGACCAAATTAACGCATCTATTCAAGCTCAATACCTTGACGTTTTGGATGTGATCTATATCCACACCAGAAATTACATTACATCCATCGAGAAGCAAGACATCTCGCACATGAATGTCAGACAAAAGGCTGCTTGTAACCTTCTTTCCAATGAATGAAACTTTAGAAAATGTTGGAGAAATCCCAGGTGGACAATCATAGCCAAACAGGCATCCCTTCTCATGCTCTTCCTGGGGTGGGTACTTCCCTTTCAAGATTCTTATGCACAGCTTGCGTACCATATCGTGCACAGTTACATACTTATACCATGGAGAACCAGTTGTCTTCACTAGGCATCTTCGTTTCAGTTCACTAACAATCTGCAGAGGCGGGAGTTCTGACCCAACCGCTATCCAACATTTTCTCAGATCATCAAACTGGATTCGCTCATCTTCTGGAAACGCAGCCACATAGAGAAAGCATTCTTGCAGCTTTTCATCCTTATTAAAGCGTCCCAGCTCGTCATAGCTAAACTTCAAGGGCCGGAACATCCGCTTCTCAATGTCCCCGTCATTCAACAAATGCATCTTCTGATAGCGTTCTTCCCACACCTGTGGCCCCTTATTCCTGTAGACAGCCATGGCACTGCCAATCACTTCAAGAGCTAAAGGGAGCCCCTCACATTTGCTAGCTATTCTCTCGGCAACTTTCACAATGTCCGGATCACTAGGTAGTGAATCACGAAAGGCAAACTTCCAAAACATCTTTTCGCTCTCGGCCTTTGATAGCATACACACACGAAATGTTTTTGCACCCAGCATGCTCAAAATGCCTTTCTTTCTGGTTGTTACCAGCACCCGGCTGTAAGAGGACGGCCCTGCTGTAAAATCCAGTCCCTTGGTCAAGCTCATTTCCCACACATCATCCAGTATCAACAAGACATGGTTGCCACGAGCAACATTTTGTGCCATCTGTTGCACATGCTCAATGGTGCCTGCATTTTGGGCCCTCTCCTTCATGTCGCCCCATTCAAGAGCGTTGAGGAGCTGGGCCCTGAGATCATCCTCCGATGCATCTTTCTTGACAGTAATCCACACAATGTTGTCATGGAAATGCTGCCGGACCCTCTGGTCATTGTGCACGAAGCTTGCAAGGGTGGTCTTGCCACACCCTCCCATTCCCAGGAGTCCAAACCATTTCCCCGGGGCTTGTGGATCCAGGAGGGCATTCACCACCTCATCCACCTGCTCCCCATGGCGGCCAAACATGTCGTTGGCCTCGGGAACACCACGCGGTACATAGTTTACGAGACCTCTGTCTTGTGGACAACTCCGTACGGAAAAGCTGGTGCTCGACTGTATCACTCTCAACTCTTCTCGCTCGTACCTTTCAATCTGCGGGAGGAGATCGTCCTCGCAAGTGCGTACCAGCTCCAAAATCGCGCCAGATCGCTTCTCCCTGCGCGATAGATCCATCTTTTAGCTTCATTGCTTCAAACATGAATTCGAATAAGCCTTACTGTGATCCAAGCAGCGCTTGCGCCTTCTCAGTCCATTCAGTCAGTTCAGTCAGCCACGCCTCAGCCTCACCAGAGTAGCGGAAATCTGGATTCCTGTGCTTGGGAGCATTAAACTTGTCAAGCGTGGCCTGGATTCTGGATGCCCTCTTCTTTAGCTCCTGCCATTTCTACACACAGCTGCCTGCCATTTCTACACACACACACACACAAAAGATAAAATGCTACTGTACCGACCGCTTTATGGGGCTCCAGATCCTGTTGTGGCGTGATCGCAAGAGTGCTTGTGCCGTGGTGTTCCATTTCCTGACACGCTCCAAGCATTTCTCGGCCGCTTCAGAGAACATAAAGCCAGGTCCATTTCGCTCCTTGTGGCGATCGAAAGCGTTGATCTTGGCCTGGATGTGGTGCGCCTTGTTCTCCAGCGTTTCAATGTTGGCATTGCAGTCTCTTAGCAGGGCCCAGAGCCAAGCCACACAAGACGCCTGTCAAGGAGCCCACAACCTCCATGCCTGTAGACCTACAAGTAAAGGTCGTCTCCCAGAACTCTTGGCCTTGGTACCCCCTCTTAAAATGAACAGTAATTCTCAGAGGGGTATAAGCTGTTACAAGTGACTTGAGTTTAATTGGAGTTGATTGCTTGCAGTAGAGCGCGTAGTAGAGGGCCTCGTGCAGCACCCTCCCTCTTGCAATGCCAGCTGTGGCTCTCTCTCTCTCTCTCTCTCTCCTCGTGCAGCACCCTCCCTCTCTCTCTCACTCTCTCTCATTGCTCCGACAAGCATGCTCCGACATTGTAAGTTTCTCCAGGAGAGGTAACTTTTGTCGCTTTGTTTTAGTTGCACACAGATAGGACGCGTTCCAGCTGACTGGGCCACGTGTTTGATTGCTTTGGGTCAGGAAAGCGTACTCTGGGTCATTCTTCACTATTTTTGAGACTAGAATTTTTGGTTTATTTTGTAATGGAAAACAATATACTTTTGAACTTGCCAAGCTTGTATATATTATATAATATATGAGGAAAAAGAAGTGAAATACACTGTAAATGCATAAAAAAATAACAACTATTAATAAAGTAATATAATAACAAATTAATATAAGTAGTTTTATTTTTTTCCACTCAAATTTAGCAAATACTTGCAAGAATTTTCTAAGCTTAATATAACAATTTTAAAAAAATTAGTGGAATTACTTCTTGAATTTAAGTTTTCTCTTGCTAACATGAAGTAATTCTATAAGAATGAAAACTATATTTATCAGTTGCCAAATGCCTACAAAATTAAAACTGAATAAACCTTAAAGTACATTGTTGAGCAGAGTGTGAAATTTAGACAATTGATTATATCTAAAGAGGCTTGGTCCATAAATACTTGGGACTACACCACTATGACATTAAAAAATTAAAATGTAATTAAAACCATAACTATTATATAAAAATTTATATGCAACACTATATCTGAATTGTGAATAAAATTATATGAACAAAATTGGCAAACATCAGTTTCAAAACTATATAGGTATCAGTAAATTATATAGAAAAGTATATGTACATTTATTCTCAAAATACAACTCAATCATATGCAAAACTATACAAAAAACCATTCATTATGATTGCCAAATAGAGCATCTATCATGATGAAAACTATGTACAAAACCATTAGTAATTAAGAAACCAATCATGAAACCATTAAAGTCACATATGGTTTAACACAACCATCTTGTTTTGGTACTAGTTATAGTAAAAAACCATATTGATGAGCGTGTTGTGGTTGTAATGCTGGGCAACACTATGCGACACTCCGGGTTTTAGAAATAGGAAGAGGCTCCAGCTTAAGGCTCCGACCCCAGCGTTGGTAAATCGTCGACGACAGGGAGTTCTAGATCTACGGTGACAACATAGGCCCCTGCGGCAAAATGTTCCATCGGCAGTGGATCGCCAAAAACTCCTGCAAAAGCTGAGGCTTCTAGGACAGCAAAACTTGCCGAGGTGAGCAATGATAGTGGAGCAGAGGATTCATATGATTCGGGAGTAGAAAGTGGAGCAATCGATGGTGGAGAAGAAGAGGTAAACAAGATCATGACTGGAGGAGGAAACAATGCCGAGGTGGAAAGAACAACAGTGGTGGAGAGCTCCATTGAGACTGTCAGGAAACATGGCGAGGCTGTTTCTAGCGCCTTAGCTGGACTTTCAATCAGAGGTAGTGCCTTGACCCACGGTAATCCCGTTAAGATGGAAGATGGTTGTGGTTCCGTGAAAGCTGAAGCTTCGGCTTCGATCGCAGCTGGATGTGATCCTATGAAAGTAGATGGGTTGGTGAAGATGGAAGCTGGTTTTGAGTCTGCAAGAGTCGAAGCTCCGGTTGGCTCAGTGAAGATGGAACCTGGTAATGATCCTGTGAAAGTTGAAACTCCATTCGGGGGTGGTAAAGCTGCCCATTTGTCTGAAGCGCAGTTGGTTCCAATAGAAAATGACACGGCTAAAGCTGCAGAGAAGCAACCGGTTGTTTTAGATGCAGAGAGGTGGTGGCTTCTCCAAGAGACTGAAGTTGCCGGGTACTCGACGTCCAGGGGATGCCGGATTCGTGTTGGCGAGTTCGTGTCCTTCAATTTTCCCAAGCCTGAAGCCGAAAGTAAGAAGAAGTTCTTTGAGCACAAGAAGGTTCGGCCGAAAGCGAGCTCCGACATTGTAAGGTTCTTGACAAAAGCTTCAGGAGAGGTACGTTTCACTTGACTTGTTTCTTCGTTTTAATTCTAACCATTTGCTCACAGAGAGGACGGCTTCCAGCCGACTGGTGATACCTTTGGGAAGTGCAAAATGGCACCAGAGGCTCTTTCTCTTATGAACAGCATAGTTCTCCATTTTTCTGTGTTTACCAGAGACGTTACGTATATGATGTGCTTGCAGAGTTTATATCAACAAGTCAGAAGCCTTACGAAGAGGGGGATGAGCGCGGATTGAAGCTTCTGCAAGCTATCTTGAAGCCGTTAATGCTTCGAAGAACAAAAGATTCAACTGATAAAGAAGGAAGGTAAGCATTTTTTCCTTTGCACCGTGCCTTGTCTTGTATTCACTCACAAGTTGGATTCACAGACCAATCTTGTTCTCCAACCGGCTCAATATGAAGTTATTGTATCCATATCCATAGCTATCATGCAGGCGTTCCTGTACGAAATAGGAACTCATAACTGTACCAACAAGTAATCGGTTTCGAATAAATGTCGAGGAGCAGTGGAAGGAGTCGTCCAAAGTCGAGGCTCTGCTGCACCACCTCCAGACGTTAAGTGAGGCCGAGTCGAAAAGCGTTGTTTTTAGTCAGTGGACAGCGTTTCTCGACTTGTTAGAGATACCATTGAAAAGGTACGAGCGTCTTTCCTTTTGGTGCTTTCTCTTTGTTTGTGTTTCTAACAATGCACTGCCAGGACGAACTTCTGTTTCGTCCGCTTGGACGGAACACACTCGCAGCGTCAGCGAGAACAAGTGCTCAAAAACTTCAGCAATATTCCAGCCGTGGCCGTAAGCTTTTTGTGTTGCTTACCTCCAAGAAACCACTCTATTTTGTGGACAGGTCATGCTCATGCTTTTCATGGTATGTGCTATAGTTTTCTTTTTTAGCCATCTTCCGAGTCGAGCATCGGTCAGACGAAGAACGTATCGATCAAGCGATTCATCGTCAAAGTAAGTGCCACTTGAAACTCTCTTTGACGTTTCTCATGTCTCTAGAGCAGGACTCGGTGGAGGAGAGAATGCAACAGGTCCAAGCGAGGAAGCAGCGATTGATCGCGGGGGCTCTCACAGACGAAGAGGTGCGAAGCGCTCGAATCGAGGAGCTCAAAATGCTATTTAGATGAGAAGAACTGGAGTCCTTAGCAACTTATATCAGTGTACATAGTTAAAGAGGGGAATATGCTTCTAGCATCGGCGCGTATATTCTTCTGATAGTTCAATGTAGGTTTCTTCGCGGCTACGGCGGACAGCAGGCGATCGCGTCGCAAGCGGCGACGAGCAAGGTATGCATGCTAGGATCGCCTCGAGAAGCAGCAGCAGCGCCAGCGCCGGCGCCGCGCCGCGATTTCGCTGGCCTAGAGAGCCGGAGTAGCCGATCTAGATTCATGCAAGCATATCATCTCTAGGAAATTGAGCTGAACGCTGAGGCTTTGCAGGCGATCGCGTCGATTCCTCTCGTCTCCGCGGCCGGGGCGGCTAGAAAGCCGGGGCGCATTCTAGAGTTTCGGGGTTTCTGGGGCGATCAGTCATGTAGCGGGTAGAGCCGTTGGTGCGGCTTTTGAGGAGTCCAAACAGAGGCTCCATAATCTAGATGCTTTGGAAGGAGAAGGCGTGACGACCTCTCTAGATCTTGAGGAGCTACAAATTGACGGTCACCGTCGTGAGGGTAAAGCTCCACAGTTTTACAAGGTTTGTGCTTGCTTTTTTTCTTTCTCTATTTTCATGTGTTTGTATCTCTGGTTACAGCCGAAGGAGAACCGTTTCAGGACCTCTGAAGAACTAAAGGTATGCATATGCATATTCTTAATATTGTTATGTTTTCCATGTTTTACCATTTACTCTATACACCAGATTTTAAAATACTCAAAACCACGAGAGTAAAGTAATATCCTGAGAATACGATTTGTAAGAAAAACAGAAACTGTGTCTTCTCCAAACGCTGCTGACGGCTTGGAAATCTCTGTTTTTGTTTTTTGAGTGATGCAAAATAGTGTAGCATTTGCGCAGATCGAGAACCCAATCGATGTCCACTGAAGGAGCAAGGTTTAATCCCAGAATGTTATCTGGAGATCCGGCCGCTCCTCAAGCCATGGTGGAACTTTCGTAGCTTTTTGGCAGCGTAGGACTTTGAGCCTGGGAAATAAGCCAAGGCCGTGATTGTCTGAACTCAATTGGGGCCACACTACATCATCATGACCAGAGAGCACAAGTTCCTCCAATCCTGGAAGGGATGCAATGGATGATGGAATATTTTCGATCCTATTCAAGGTTACATCTCTTAGAGCAGTCATTTGGTATGTTGGCTCAAAGAAATCATTGGGGAGCTGCCTCATACAGCCCGTCCGCAAAGATAATGCGAACCCTTTCACCTTCAGCTGTGATCTCTCGGTTGGCATCAAGAGTCTCCTCATGTAACCTTCTACTCTCAGTCCATCAAGGTCTTTGGGGAGTTGTGTCACAAAGAGAGGCAAATGCTCCCATGTATTATCAGGAGCCAGATAGAATCTTAACCACTTCAGGTTTGGAAGACTTGCTGCCAAATCATCCTTGAACTTCGACTGTGCAATGCGCAGATTTCGAAGCTCCAGATGTTTGAGGCATGGGAACGATCCATCCAGACTGAAGAACTGGATACCACTGCGGTCTAGTTGAAGTTCTCGTAGCCGTTGAAAGACCTTTAGCCAAGACAGGTCTTTCATTGTCTCATTGTTTATGATCGTTAAAAGTTGTAGCTGTGGCCATTCAAGGCTTTCGGCATTGTTTTCACCGTCTTGTACCCCGTCAATGGAAAAGCTCCAAAGCTGTTTGGAATTCTTAAACATTCGCTTCCAGTCAAGTTTGATAGTCGATTGCACACTAATGTCACATCGTCTTAGATTGACAAGTTGCCACAGGTCGGTGAAATCACCAAAGTCCATGCTCTTTGCCCGCAACTCCAGTGTCTCCATGGCCACTAGTGCACCAAGGCTGTGAGGTATTTTTATTGTTGCACCATAGAGGTCTAGCTTTAAATGTCTTAGCTTGTGTAGGCTTGAAATTCCACTCAAATTCACAGCTAACTCCTTACCGGAATGAAGCTCCAGCTCTTCCAAGTTGAATAATTGGGGCAGTAATGCAAAGTTGAATTTTGTGGTATTATCGCATTTCAAAACCTTCAGTGATGTCAAGCTGAAGAGCGCATCTGGTAATATTGTCACACTTGAATATAGAAGGTCAAGCACTTGAAGGTTTCTCAGCTTGGATATGCTCTCTGGAATAAAACGGACCTGATCAGAGCAGTGAAGCAAGCTCAATACCTTGACATTTTGGATGTGATCTATAATAAGACTGACATCCACACCAGAAATTCCATAACATCCATCGAGAAGCAAGACATCTCGCACATGAATGTCAGACAAAAAGCTGCTTGTAACCTTCTTTCTGATGAATGAAACTTTAGAAAATGTTGGAGAAATCCCAGGTGGACAATCATAGCCAAACAGGCATCCCTTCTCGTGCTCTTCCTGGGGTGGGTACTTCCCTTTCAAGATTCTTATGCACAGCTTGCGTACCATATCGTGCACAGTTACATACTTACCCCATCGATCATCAGTTGTCTTCACTAGGCATCTTCGTTCCAGTTCACTAACAATCTGCAGAGGCGAGAGTTCTGACCCAACCGCTATCAAACATTTTCTCAGATCATCAAAGTCGATTGGCCAATCTTCTGGAAACGCAGCCACATAGAGAAAGCACTCTTGCAGCTTTTCATCCTTATTAGACAGCTCGTCATAGCTAAACTTCAAGGGCTGGAACATCCGCTTCTCAATGTCCCCGTCATCCAACAAATGCATCTTCTGATAGCGTTCTTCCCACACCTGCGGCCTGTCATGCCTGTAGTCAGCCATGGCACTGCCAATCACTTCAAGAGCTAAAGGGAGCCCCTCACATTTGCTAGCTATTCTCTCGGCAACTTTCACAATGTCCGGATCACTAGGTAGTGAATCATAAAAGGCAAACTTCCAAAACATCTTTTTGCTCTCGTCCTCTGATAGCTCATGCACAGGAAGTTCCTTTGCACCCAGCATGCTCAAAATGCCTTTCTTTCTGCTTGTTACCAGCACCCGGCTGTAAGAGGACGGCCCTGCTGTAAAATCCAGTCCCTTGGCCCAGCTCATTTCCCACACATCATCCAGTATCAGCAAGACACGAATTCCACGAGCAACATTTTGTGCCAAGTGCTGCACATGCTCAAGGGTGCCTGCATTTTGGGCCCTCTCTCTCATGCCGCCCCAGTCAAGAGCGTTGAGGAGCTGGGCCCTGAGATCATCCTCCGATGCATCTTTCTTGACAGTGATCCATACAATGTTGTCATGGAAATGCTGCCGGACCCTCTGGTCATTGTTCACGAATTTTGCAAGGGTGGTCTTGCCACACCCTCCCATTCCCAGGAGTCCAAACCATTTCCCCGGGGCTTGTGGATCCAGGAGGGCATTCACCACCTCATCCACCTGCTCCCCATGGCGGCCAAACATGTCGCTGGGCTCGGGAACACCATGCCGTACATAGTTTACGAGACCTCTGTCTTGTGGACAACTCCGTACGGAAAAGCTGGTGCTCCGCTGTATCACTCTCAACTCTTCTCGCTCGTACCTTTCAATGTGCGGGAGGAGATCGTTCTCGCAAGTGCGTACCAGCTCCGAAATCGTGCCAGATCGCTTCTCCCTGCGCGAAAGATCCATCTTTTAGCTTCATTGCTTCAAACATGAATTCGAATAAGCCTTACTGTGATCCAAGCAGCGCTTGCGCCTTCTCAGTCCATTCAGTCAGTTCAGTCAGCCACGCCTCAGCCTCACCAGAGTAGCGGAAATCTGGATTCCTGTGCTTGGGAGCATTAAACTTGTCAAGCGTGGGCTGGGTTCTGGATGCCCTCTTCTGTAGGTCCTCAATGTGGACATTCAGCTCATGCTCGTGACCTTGGATGTGCGACAGGAGATCGTCGTAGGCACTTAAGGACTTCGCGATGTCGTTACTCCGCTTGTACCTATAGGAAGTGGAGAAGTTCAACCAGCTGCCTGCCATTTCTACACACACACACACACAAAAGATAAAATGCTACTGTACCCACCGCTTTATGGGGCTCCAGATCCTGTTGTGGCGTGATCCCAAGAGTGCTTGTGCCGTGGTGTTCCATTTCCTGACACGCTCCAAGCATTTCTCGGCCGCTTCAGAGAACGTGAAGCCAGGATTCTGCTGCTTGTGAACACTGAAAGCTTCGATCTTGTCCTGGATGTGGGGCGCCTTGTTCTCCAGCGTGTCAATGTTGGCATTGCAGTCCCATATCTTCTTAGCAGGGCCCAGAGCCAAGCCACACAAGACGCCTGTCAAGGAGCCCACAACCTCCATGCTTGTAGCCCTACAAGTAAAGGTCGTCTCCCAGAACTCTTGGCCTTGGTACCCCCTCTTAAAATGAACAGTAATTTTCAGAGAGGTATAAGCTGTTACAAGTGACTTCAGTTTAATTA